CCCTGTACCTCATCATTCGCTCAAACAACCTTCGTGAGCGCTCTGAAAGAGTAATCGTGGCGAATACGCGGGTATCAAGCGAAATGGTATGTTGTATCCGGCAAATTGTGCTGACAAACGCTATGATTCTCGCGACGCTTTATCGAGAGCCCTGGGCGAGCCTGGGGAAAAACAAAGAAAGGGGCGTTTGGTGGGTTTTGACAAAACTTTACTTCGATCATCGTATCATTCCTATCATTTTATCGGTATACGTTCATTGTACTATGCCGAAGATTTTGTTCCTCGCCGACGAATCATTTCAACGTTCAAAAAAACGAACCGTGTTTTAGTAAATTGTATTTTGCACATGGAAAAAAATTAGCTACCGCATGTAGCTAAATTTTAACTGTCCTACATTACACATGAAATTTAATTATCATGCTACAATAGCTAATATTTTTTAGCTCTAGAATTCCCCGTTAAACTATATCTAAAAAATATGATAGTTATACCTAAAATTTAAGTTGTAACACACACTGTAAAAAAATATGTAATATATTACACAAAAATATATAAAATTACATAAATAATATGTGTAAAATTACACAATAAATAATAGAAATATTTACCTCTTCATTATTTATCATGTAATTTTGCATTTATTATTTATGTAATTTTACATATTTTTTTTTTTACAGTGCAGAGACAGCTAAAATTCAGCTAGGATGGGTGGCTAATTTTATTTTCCGTGCGCAAGAAATTATCTTTTCAGAAAACTCTGAATTAAGACAGTTCAGACATTGGTTTATGCATTGTCTAAAATCGTCGACTATCAAATATCCCTTTGATGAGCCTGAAACGTTTCACCACCGCGAAAAATCCGCACAAAATCGATTCTTTCTCTCTCCTTCTCTATCTCTCGCTTTCTCCCTCTCTTTTTCTCTGTCATCGCAGTCGATACCGCCGCTATTACATCATGTTCGTTAAAAGAGACGGACCTGCATAATTAAGGAGACACGCTCCGCCGCTGTATGCGTAACACACGGATGCGTATACGCGCGCACACACACAGAGAAGCGCGCTATCCGCTCCTATCATTATAATCGGCCGCGAAGCAAACGTTTCAACCGGTAAATATTTAAGTCGACCGGTAAGGGGCCGGTAATGAGAGTCGAGATGGATCGATAGACGTAGTACATAGGATGAGGTGTATACGCACGTCCGTATGGGTCGCTGACACTCTCGATAAATATTGTCCGCGCGAATCGTACCTTATTTCTTCCCAGCGCGGCGAGTTCGTGTGCGAGAGAGATGATATCGTCGCGGAGAAATTAAAAAGTCTAAGGCAAACATCGCGCTGTCATACTTCTCTCTCCTTCCTTCTCGCGAGACACTCTTCCCTCAAATGAATATAAAAATGGGCTTCGTTAATGTTGCTTTTGGAAAGACAAATTTACGAAGGCAAATGTGATTTATAATCGTCGCTTCGATCCGAATGTTATAGTCTTTCTTCGAATGAATTAATTATAATCAGTTGAGGCATTATGTTGTTTCTAATGTTACTTTCATCAAATTCTGTTGGCTTTAATTCCACAAAGTGTTCACCAAGTCACAACAAAATCATGTGGGCCACGAAAGTTTCCAAATTATGTCAGTGCAAAACTCTTAATGGATTTCTTAATTGAAACTTGCGATCGACATTTTATGTGGAGGATATACGATATTGCAGTTTTTTAAATTAAATAGTTGGATTTATCGCGTAATTTATCTCGTTATTTTACAAAGAGATACATCTCTCAGCAAAATAAATAGTCGAGGAAAAAAGTAATTTGCTACACAATAATATTGCACAAGCACTAAAATAAAATTCGAACTGCATATGCAAGAGACACGCGCGGATGCAATTGATGGTATTTACTTAATTATTGCAATTAAATACGAGCATTTGCAAATTTTATTATCTTATTCTTAGAGTCGCTATAGATACATAGAAACTTATTATAAAATACAAAGCAAACTATTGATGTGTTCGCTCTAAAGCATACGGTATGATTGCATTTTCTGCGTCAAGCAATACATATAAAAATTGAATCGTATAGGTGGGACAATTACGATAATTGTATTTTCCTTCGTGTAGTCGTAAGAGTGAAACGGCATGCCTGCTTCAACAAAGCAATATTGTCATCTACTCCACCATTGTACATATCCATGCTGCGGACGATAATTCTGATGATAATATATCGAAATAAAACGTCGGTAAATTTAATTTAAAGAAAAGAATGTCCGTTTATACGTCGACGGCTGTCGATGAGTCAGAAGTGCGTCAAGAAAAGAAAGTTTCTTTATTCCATACAAGATACAAGAAATCGATCTTTGGTTCTTTTGTGTGTGTATTAAATGCTAGAATAATAATTGATACCCGATATTAAAACTTGACTATACTTTATAGCTCTTCTTTACTTGCCATAATAAAGAGATAATGTAAAATTAAAATTTACAGAGATGGAATATATAGAGTAATAAAGCTTAAAGTCTCTAATTTCTTACAGTGAGAGATATGCTATTAATACATTTTATTATTAATTTCCTAACAATTTATAAAATATTTTTGGCATTGAATATTTATGACATTTGAGTTTCGCAAATTTAACTTGAAATAATATATCTTAATTTATAAAAGCGCGGAGCCATCAAATTACTTTAACGTTAATCATTCCATAAACACTTTCGACATTTTATTTTTTTATGCCATTACAATTTCAATCGAACATAAATTCAACCGTTTTCGTCACCGATTTTATCTCTTTCCACGAGCATTAAATATCCTGCATTACTCGCTGCATTTCATACGATCAATGACGACATAACAAATTTCTATTTCCTATACGTGAATAACTGTTCGTTTTTTTTCTCGCGACACTTCTAAATTCTTTTTTCTGCTGTTCGTGCACGTTCATTCGAGAGAGAGAGAGAAAAGAAAAGAAAGAGATATCGCATGTGTCCGCGAGCAAAATTAATTTCTTTCCGATAGAATCTTAACGGCGCCTTCCGTCGCGTTACAACATTCGGAGACGTCCGTACACTTTTATCGTCGCTTTACAATCGTAAAATTATTTACTCAGAATTTCGAGTGAGAGAGAAAGAGAAGCGTTGTTTCTACAGAACAGCTGTTTGCTTGGTGCTATCACTGTTGCTCGATCATCATTAGACGACCGACGACGAACTTTTAAAAGATCGTGACAAGAATTTACAAGCGTGTGTGGTCACTCTCTTTATTATTATTATTATTATTATTATTATTGTTATTATTATTATTATTGCTGCATACTGAAGCCGCGATCTGCAAGATGATCGTTCTTGAACGTCAAGATTTGCGAGAACGATTAACAGACAAGTGTTAATTTTTTTTTCATGTAACGATATCGCGAGAGCAATTGCAAGATACGTATAAGATTATGCGACTGACATTAATAAATAGCCATTCGTGACATTTTCTGTTTTTATTAAGAAAACTATATATATTTATGCCGGATATTTTCTGCTTTTATTCATAAAATTATAATTAAACTGAAATGTTGTCCTACGCGAATAGTTATTATTATTAGAATATATCGTTGCCAAATTTGTACACGGAGAAACGATATACATTTTTCCACGTTTATTTATAAATCGTTTTAAGAAAGCTCGCAAATATACAAGTATAACAGCGTAATATAGCAAGTAATCGATTATCTTCCGCTTCACGTGACATATATCACGGTCTTGTTATTGATTTCTTTAATTTCTTTCTTTATTTTATTACTATTAATTTTGATGAAAATTACGTCAAATACATTTTTTATTATTTATCAGCACATCGCGTGTTATAATGTTGACCGAATATTTTAATTGATTATTTTACATATAAAATATTAATTAATTATTGATTGCACGTTATACTTGAGCGAGCTGTACGAAGTATTACGATCGTATGGCTAACAATAAGTCGTCTTCGTAAAATCAACCACAGAGACTTTAGTCATCATCGATTGACGTGCATACGACTGATCACGATTTATTAGTTGATTCAGTTGCGTTTGATTAACCTTGACTCATTATTTCAGACTGCGCACCGTCGTCTTCTTCGACAATAATCGAATTTGCAACGCGTGCAGTCGTAAATTCATGTCTTTCGACCAGAATTTATTATGCCATCTGCACTTACAACGCAAATTATAATCCATTGTGACAATCAAGGCGAATATTTAATTAATCACTTGACTCAATTAAAAATGTCAAACATCTCTCACGATTTTCAAGGAGATATATTGTAAAACTTTCCAGAAATATTGTTTGCTTTTTTGATATGATAATTAACGTCGCGTGACATAGTCTAATAATATATGTATTAATACTAATACACTTCAAAATAATACACTTAAATAAAAAAATTTTTTGTATTAATGTGTAAATAGAATATATTTATTAGTAATTTCATTTCAGAAAACGCGTGTAAATTTTGTTTATATATATATATAACTATTTTAAATCGTTTTAGAGTTATGAGACATAGGTATATGCTTTCTTTTAAAAATTATATTAAAATACGACAAATATATATAAATTTGTATAATTTGTGCACGGAGAGAATTTTCTCTTATAGATATTTACCTAGAAAACCATGGCAATCGTGGGACAATATAGTATTGAAAGAATTTTAAAAGAGTTTCTCTGATTAATATTTACCACAATAAAAAATATTAACATGTACATAGTAACCTTTACTATGTACATATATAGCAAAATTAACCGAACATATTTTATATCTTATTGTGACAGATATTAATATTTCGAAATGTAAAAATGCATATTGCTGTTGTGCAAGATATCTGTTACCCCAAGGGGAAACAGGAAATAAATATACATATAATATATATAGCATATGCAACGAATATATTTGTTAAAAATATATTGAAAAAAATGCTGAAAAGTGCAAGACAGAGCGCAGACTGACCCAGATATCCCTCGATTTCGTGTTACAGGTGAGAAACCGCACAAGTGCGTGGTGTGCGGCAAGGCGTTCTCGCAGAGCAGCAACCTGATCACGCACATGCGTAAGCACACCGGCTACAAGCCGTTTCAGTGCGGCCTATGCGACAAGGCGTTCCAGAGGAAGGTCGACCTGCGAAGACACCGAGAAGGTCAGCATCCGGCGGCGCCGGCGCTCGACTATCGCTCTCTGCAGATTCCGCCGCAGCAGCCGAACGGCAACAGCCGGCGCACGTCACCGGTGCCGCCGCATTCGGCGCCTTCGACGGCTTCGACGGCTTATCGTATGATATCCGTGCCCGGCAGCAGCTGAGACCCGTTCACCTGACAGACGAACGTCCTGTCCGCGAACGCAGCGGTGCTTCGAACCGAATAATCTCTTTCATCCCACTCGTCTGAGCGGTACGTATCTCCCGTCATCGCGTAGTAGATCGTAGCCCATTGAAGGCGAAATACAAACGTGAGATCGATCGCCGGAGAAGCGAGATGTCGTATATAGATATGATATAATCCGGACGTTGGTTGGAAAGGGTAATGCGTTTCGAGTACGTGCATCGTGAACGTAAATCGTTGAAATAGCAAAACACGAGCGTATTTAATAGGCGAGAAATGTAAGATTGAATTTACAGTAATTCATTGTGTCAAAGAGGCAACTAATTCCGGTGCTCGCTATGTTCAACTTCATCTTACGTCGCGAACGCTTCACAGTAAATCGAAAATAAGTATGCACTTACGTGTGCACTTATGTTAGCCACAAAAAAAATTTAACTTCTTTATCCGAATATTTCTCTCTAAAATAACAAATTAAAAATTTTAAAACAAAAAATTAAAAAAAAAATTAAAAATTAAAAATTTTTAATAAATTAAAAATTTAAATTTAAAGTTCTAGGATATTCTGCAGATATTATAAAATATGCCAGAAATATATGAATGATCTTTTCATTTTGTGCCTAATTATAAGCGAGTTACTGATCATCATATCTAGATATAATTGTGATATTGTGATAATATACCACGATGCACGATCGAAGCGGATTATCGAAGAGGACTCTTACTCGTTGCATCAACGAATCCCATCACAAGTACAGCGTTTTGAAGTAACGTGAAGACACGTGTGCATCCGCGATTAATGTATTGAAATGATGCGCATCGTATAATATGTATGTACATACATCGATGAATGATGCACGTGTGTCACTTCGAAATGTAGTGCTTCGTTCTCATTATGTCAGTGACTTTACGTCTACTTTATGGCATGATATATTATATATGTATAATATAGTCAGCTAAATATCGGCTACTTTCTTGAGACAACACACGTGATATGTCAAAATATTTTTACCTATCACATATTCATGTCGATCGGACCGAATATAAATTCTACAAGACGGAGGCGTTAATTTCGCATTATTCCTTTTGTTTTATAGTGATTTAATTATCAATAAGCTATACTTTAATAACTGCAACTCTAGTGATGCATTGTGTCTTGGAAAATGTGTCAAAATTGAAAATAATACACAGATATCCAGATAATTGATAAAAAAAGAGTTTTCAAAGAAGTTTACATTTCGAGAGAACGGAACGAAAGAGACCGGGATATCATGAAAATGACATAGGTTTGTCTTATCGCGAAATGATGAGATGTAAATACACACAGCCGCGACTGCACACGTGATTGCACGATACAGATTCAAGGTGTGCGGTAATTCAAGGATCGTCTGCCACATTGTGAAGGTCACTGTCTCTTTGCAAGCCAGTCTCGCTATACTCAGGTGAGAAACAGAATTGTAAATATTTTTCATTGAAATCACCACCGATATCTTTTCTTCGGAGGTATAATTACGGAGCGTGAAGCACGTAATCGAACGCGATCGACAGGATATTTGCATAAATCAGTCAATCGGACAATCGTACGCGTTTAATCAAACTATATATACACAATACACAGTGCCTTGAGAATATAAATATTTCTGATACACTTTGAATTTTTATAATTAATTCTCCAAAATATTTCAAATTTATTATCGAAAAGATTTTGTTTTCTGAAATTTAACGGTGGATAAAAAATACTGCGTATGTATATATACGAACACACATATATATATAAATATATATATATATATATATATTTCTTGAGGCGTCTACGCAGGATATATATAGTATGCATATTTGTACATTGCTGCTTTTACGATTTTATTATTTATTACTATTTTCCAAAAAGATCAATTTTTATCAAAAATAATATCTATTACTAGATGATTTTAAATTCGAATTAATAAAAAAAATCATTATATATAATTTATACTATAATAAGAATTATTTCACGATAGAAATATTTTTGAAATTTTTTTGCAAGATTATAAAAAGAAATATTCAAATAATAGTTATTAATAAAAGTATATAATTAATCTCGGTGTATCAAAAAATGTAAATTGGAATTGGAAAAGAATTTTGCATTAATTAATTTGCAATATTAATGTCTCTTATTGTTATGAAACAATTCAATTCGATCGACGTGAGATTACTATAAGTAAAATACTTACTATAAAATGCCTAAATGTGCCTTTCTTTCGATGTGTCATCGTATATCATATTTATTGAATATTACTGTATTTCAGCTGTATTAAAACATTTACGTAACGTTTAAATATATAAATAACGTTCGTATGATTCATGTACAATTAAACTCTAGATACAGAAATTATTTTTAATAAATTCTTTAGTTTATATATAAATCTTTACACGTTTTACAAATTTTATATAAATCTTTACACGTTTTACAAATTTTATGCACTTTTTATTTATGAAATAAAATATTTTAATATCAACCACTAATATCAGCTTTAATGCAAATTGCATTAAATGCGTTTTTTAGTGAATTTAAATATTTTGGCAGCAGCAAAAAAAGAGTATTAAAACGTATACGTATATAATAAAATCATGAAAAATAATTGATTTGAGATCATTAATTGTAATTGTTGGAAACCTATTCTTTTTCATGTGTTATTTCTATTTTACAATCAAAAAATATATCTCTGATAACCTAAATATATATATATGAGAAAATAAAATGTACACAAAATGTATTGTATGAAGAACTCGTTGAGCTGATTGTGAATATAATACTATTTGTCTATTATGTGTCATAGTCCATCGAAGCCAAAGTTTTCACATGTACACATTTATATTTTCCGATCGTAAATTATTGAAAAAATTATTCAGAAAGGAGCGAGAGAGAGAAAGAGAGAGAGAGAGAGAATGATATTCTATGTCAAGTTGTTAACAAATATCATCAATTTAAAATATTTCGTGACAAATATTTTTTCAAACTCTTTCATACGTTATTTGTGAGTTCAATATTTTCACATTCTTGCTTTCGCACTTCTTATTATATTTTTGTAATTATTAATATATAAATATATGTATTTTATTTCAACGGACATATTTTACCGGCATTTAATCGTCAGAAAATCAAAGTATACTTCCGGAGTGGGAAGTCATTGCTGTGAAAGAAAAGCGTGAGTGGAAGCGATTATTTTTGTATTAACGCTAAACAAAAAGCGGGGAAGCGAAATATGTAGCTTAAATGATAAGCACGCTGTACTTTACTGTTACTTCTGCACGGAGAAACAATCGATGTTACAATATACGATCGGAGATCAATGTACGAAACAGAATAATTCCAGATAACGAAAAGATTTTAAGCTCTCGCGAAAGTCATTGCAAATAGATAGATATTTGCTTTAATATATTCGATTTTTCAAAAAATCTCTAAAAGATTATCCATCCCTGCGTGAACAATAGCAAAAGAAAAATCGTGGAAAGCGACGAAGAAAAGTGAAATTTTCGCACGAAATTCATACATCCGGCAATCATAGCGGCTAGAGGACCAAAGATAGTATAAGCCGGACCTGATCGATTGGTATAGTGTAATCGGGTTTTCTTTTCTGTAAAGTCTACAAAATATGAACCGCGAAATGAGTTATAACGTCAAACACAAAACGAGTACGACGAGATAATTTGCGAAAACTCGTAACTTACCAGAGATCCTGGTCCCTCGTACATACATACAGATTGTAACATACCATTAGAATTAGCTAGTTAAGTGCGTTTAGATTAATCGTCTGACTATGACGTATCCGTTAACGATAATTTGTTTCCAATGAAAGTTTCGCGATGAAGCTTACAATCGACGAGCAGAGACACCGTCCTCTCGGGATAATTCATTAGCGAATATTGTAGTGCGACGACATGTGTATCCAACACTGGACTCGCGCGTTGAGCAATTTTGTGCTGTATGTATTAAGATTATATATAAACTTATATATAGAGAGATCGTGATCAATAAATCAGTAAGTAAAATAGAGATCGTGATCGATAGATCAGTAAGTAGAAATCTTTTAAGATGTTTGTGTAGATGTGCATACTAGCATGGAAAACGAAAAAGCGCGCGTAAATATGTCTGAAAGAAAGAGAGAAAAGGAAAGAATATACAATAGTCATAAGAGAGATTTTGCGATCATGAGTGAGCGATTCGTGTTAATCGGTAAAACCAAAAATATGTTTATTATTGCTGAAGAGAATATTGATCGAATAAATTGTTTTTCTTATAAAATTTCTTCTTATATTATTTTCATCATAATTTGCCCACATAATCCTATTTTCACCACTACCACATCCCATTTTTTCAAATAATTTTATATTTACATTTGACATATGCGACAATATTTTTTGGTAATTACGATTAAATGCATTTTTCATATTTTAAAACAAATTTACCAGAAAATTAAAAATTGTTTTAATTATTTTAATATAATTACTTGAACTGTAAAATATATAAATTTTACGTAAAATACAACATTTTCACCTCAATTTTCACATGTTCAGTTCCTTGCTACAATACAATCTCTCGTTTATATTTTATATCCATCTTTCTTTTTCCTTTAAAGCTGAAGACCGACTATTATCATGATAAGATAATTTTGTTACGTTTACTCGAGCAATTAACGGTATAATCATTTACGAAGAACTTGAGTTATTTCCGTTTACGGAACAAAACCCCATTTGAAAAATAAAAACTGCAATTTATTTTAATAAGCGATTAACTTACTTACGAAAATACTTTCTGCGCATCGCCGTACCTAATGTATTATTTTTCACTAACGATTATTTAATATTTCATATAATTAGACAATTATATCGCGGATATAATTATTTTATATTTGCTCTAACAATTTATATATCTTGTTTTTTATTTTATTTTAAACAATTTTTAAATCAGTTATACATTGATATTAATATGATTTTTAAATATATACTTATGTCGACACTCCAATAAAATCAAAAGCAGAATAAATATTTTTTGTTCTTTTTTTCTATGATATAAAACTCGATTTGATATTAATAAATCTTATTATCTGATTAAAACATATAACAAATTTATAATTTTTAAACTACATAGTGTATACTTATTAAAATTAAAATCTAAAATTGAAAAAAATAATTTTATATAATAACAACTTAAAGCAAAATAAATAAACAATAATAAGTAATAGAATTTACGGAAAATTTGATGTTAAAAATAAATTCAAAGAAACAATTTTAATTTGCATAAATATCAAATAAATTTTACAGAAAAATCTATCTTCTGTAACAATTTGATGAAAATGTTCCTTATATTCTTATCTACTCTTAAACAATCTTATAATAATGTACCTATATAATCTAAATAATAAACACTATTTTTTACATCACATTTTTTTATACTTACTTTCAAGAATTAAATATACGTCTTTCTTAGAAAGTAAATGGAGGAATCCAAAAACGAA